GGTTGTCTGTGGAGGATGGCAGGGCTTCGCTCCAAAACCCTAAGGGCGTGCACTGAGATTCATCCACCAGAGGCTCCAAGCAGCCTCCCTTTCTGCCGTTGGTGCTTCAGGCGCCACTGGATCTGCTGGATCACGTGACCCGAGCGGAGAACAGCTCCCATGGTGGCCTGACCCGTGAGGAGCCTCCTCTTGTTCGGGGCCCCACTCAAAACGGTCAGCTTTTCGGCTCACTAGGTAGATAGGCCAGAGTGTCACACCCAGATTAGGAGCATGTTGCCTCCGAAATCCAAAAGGGGCCCACTAGGCATTGTGTCTCCATTTTGGTTGTAGGAGGGACCAGATGCAGCAACTTATCTCTCACCTCAGAAGGGATCTCTCGACATGGCTCTCACCACTGGACCCCTAGCAATTTCACTGAGGTAGAAGGCACATGCATCTTAATTGGATTTATTTCCCACCCTCTGATGCCAAATGTTTTACCATTAAGTGCAGAGTAGCTGCTGCTTTTTGCTCAGTAGGTCTAGTCAGCATGAGCTCATCAATGTAATGGGCCAGTGTGATGGCGTGTGGCAGGGAAAGATGATCGAGATCTCTGTGAGCTAAATTGTGACATGGGGCTGGAGAGTTGATACAGCTTGAGGTGGCGCAGCGAAGGAGTAGTGCTGGCCTTGACAGTGGGAAGCAAACTGCTTCTGGTGGGCCTTACTGTCAGGGATGGAGAGAGAGGCGTTTGCCTGATCAGTAGCTGCATCTCAGGCACCAGAGGATGTGTGGATTTGCTCAAGCAGTGGAACCCCATCTGGTACAGCAGCCTCAATTGGAATCACCACCTGGTTAAGCTTCTGCACAGGCCAAATAGGTGAGTTGAATGGGGCTGTGGTGGACGTCTTTCAAGCCCTTGATGGTAACACTAATGTCTGCAATCCCTCCAGGAAAGCGATACTGTTTCGGTTTAGTATTTTCATAGGTGGAGGCAGTTCTAGTGCTTTTTCCACCGTAATAGCCCTCACTCGACAAGCCAGGGAGCCAGTGTGGCGGTCTGACAGCTGCTGAGTATTTCGATTCAAATTATGCATCCTGGAACTGGGGAATTAACCATAGGACGGGTTTGGGGACCCACTGCGCCCATGGTGACACATACCTGAGCTAAAACCCCACTGATCATCTGGGCTCCATAAGTCCCTGCTACGGTAGACCACAGTGATATTTCGGATCTCCTGAAATTAGTGTCAGTTCAGAGCCAGTGTCCAGTAGTTCCGAAAACATCTGATCTTTTTCCCTTGATGCATTTGTCCTGGTAAAAGGCTATAGGTTTCTTTGGGCGAATGATTAACAGTATAAATGCTCGGCAGTGTACTGGCGTTCTTTCTTAAGGGGACCCAACCTTCCCTTTGTTCAAGGACCTTTGGGTCTGTAAACTGGCTCAAATCTGGAAAGTACTGATGAGTTGTCATTCTCTGCTTTTATGATACAGGTTAGGCTGTTGTTCACTTGACCTAGAACTCTCCTGCTTACACAGATCAAGTGATGATTTGGTAGGCTTCCTGTGTCTTTCACTTCTAGGGACCCCATGAGCAGCTAGCTAACGCCGTAGGTCTGCAGGGACTGGGCTCTTCTGACCGCTGCTGTGCCTCTGCCGCCCATTACGTGAGCTCACCTGCCTCATCTTACACGGCCCGCCACTGCTGGGATCCACTTATTCCCACTGCATGCTGTTTTCCCAACTCAGGGACTGTAGTTCCCATGGTAAGGCCTGGCCTGCAGAGAAGGGCAGTCATAGAGCTCTTTAAGGATGCTTGGGTCTCCCCTCACAAATTTATTTCTCACAGTAGTGGTGAAAGGTATGTCTTCTGGAATCTCCCAGTAGGTCTTAAATGACAGAGGCACCCTAGCAGTCCAGCTCCCTAAGCCTCTGATTCCCCTCCTCTGCGTTTAACCTGGGCAGATGCAGCGTTTCTAATTCACTCACTGGGAGCCACCTTTTGGTCCATGTTTTAGCCAACCACCCAGTCAGACTGTTAGAGTCCTTTCTGACTACCTGAGCTACAACTTTCGGTGCAGAATCTCTTTTTAGTGAGCCCACATCTGTAAGTTTGGCCTGAGGCAACTTTATGTTCCTTCCACCATTATCCCATATGTGTTCCCTGGGCTTCTGTCTGTATACCTCAGAAGACTCAAGTAGTTCTTTTGGAGTGTAGTACATGTCCTCATGGGTCACGTGCCTCACCTCTGGGCCTGCTGGGATGTGAGTCTAGTTATAGGGCTGGAGATGAAGAGGGGTGGGGGGGCGGGACCTGGGAGGATTAGCATCGTCCTGCACGGCAGCTGCCTCAGTGGAGGCCATTGCTGTTCCTTAGGCGAAGCGGGGCTAATCCCACAGAAGGAGGTAGGAAGGCCACTTCCACCGGGAATGGGGAGAACTTCCCCTGGGAAAGGACTCATGAGGATTTAGCAGCTCAGTGTCCCCAGCTTCATCAGGATCTTCCTGCACGTCCCCGGAACAGGATCCCTTCTCTCCCAGTCAGTGCAGTCACTTTAGCATCGAGGCACCCTGCGAGGCTGGGAGTTCAGGGGTGTAGTTCAGCCAGTTGCTGGATGAGATTCCGGTTTGATTTTCAGCAATCTCAGCACTGTGGCCATAGGAAATAAGGGTCTCCTTCAGGGCACACATAGAAGCTTTCAGATCTTGGGTGTGGCACTTGAGGTGGGAATTCAAATCCCTGAGCTCATCCTTTTCTTTCACCACTTTGTCCAGTGACATAAGGAGCAACCAGTGAGCTTCATTACATTTGTTAGTTTTCCAAGAATGTTCTAAAGTATCGTAAACAGAGTCATTTACCTCCTTGCTTCTCATAATAAGTGGTTGATTAGGAGTATCTAATGGAAATATTTTGTATATGTTCATGAACTATCAGTGCTCTCTTTACTACTGAACATATAGTCATTAGCATCTTTAATCAGATCAGAGAACCAATTCCAGAAACCCCAGAACCAGTATAGAATAATCACCCTTAACATGCTGTTCCTCTAGAACCACTCTTGGTACCAAAATCTGTGTTAGTCTGGGTTCTCCAGAGAAACTGAACCAATAGGAGATACAGAGAGAGGGGGGCGGGGTGGATGAGAGAGAGAGATTTTATTTTAAGGAAGTGTCTCACATGATTATGGAGGCCGAGAAGCTGCACGGTTTGCAGTCGGCAAGCTGGAGACCCAGGAAAGCCGATGGTGTAAGTGTTCCTGCGTCTGAAGACAGGTGAAGACTCATGTACCAGCTTGAAGACCGAGAGCCCCGAGGAAGAGAGCAGATTCTCCCTTACTCGGCCTTTTGCTCTGTTCAAGCCTTCAGTGATTTGGATGAGGCCCACCCACATTGGGAGGGCAGTCTGCTTTACTTAGTCTCCTGATTCAAGAGGTAGTCTCATCCAGCAACACCCTCACAGACGCACCCAGAGTAATGTTTAGCCAGTTATCTGGGCACCGTGTGGCCCAGTCGAGTAGACACACAAGTCCTCTGCTCCTAGTTACTTTCTTTCGTAAGGTTATTAGGATTTCAGAGTTCGGAGTGCCCAAGGGACCACTGGGTCAGTCACCTCGTTTTGCAGATGAGGAAATGAGGTCCAGAAAGCCTGTTAACTGAGACTCGAGTCTAGACTTTCCTGACTCCCAGTTCTTAGTTCTTCCTGAGAAGCCAGGCTGCCTTACTTCCTGGGACAGGAGTGCACTCCGATTGTGAATCCGTTGGAAATAAGCCTTTCTGGGACTTCCCTGGTGACGCAGTGGTTAAGAATCCACCTGCCAATGCAGGGGACATGGGTTCGAGCCCCGGTCCGGGAAGTTCCCACATACCGCAGAGCAACTAAGCCCGTGCGCCACTACTACTGAGCCTGTGCTCTAGAGCCCGCGAGCCACAACTACTGAGCCTGCGTGCCACAACTGCTGAAGCCCATGTGCCTAGAGCCCGTGCTCCACAGCAAGAGAAGCCACCGCAATGAGAAGCCCGCACACTGCAGCGAGGAGTAGCCCCCTCTCGCCACAACTAGAGGAAGCCCGCGTTCAGCAACGAAGACCCAACACAGCCAAAAGTAAATAAATAAATTTATTTAAAAAAAAAAAAAAAAAAGAAGCCTCTCTGTGGGTGAACGCCTCCTTCCTATGCAGTGACATCTCTGCTCAGCCTGCAAGAATGTGCCCCAGAGACATGCTCCTGCACTGGCTGAGGTTTATACTCAGGTATCTCCTCCTCCAAGTGGAGGGTGGTTGGCAACAGGCTGGGCGTGGCCACGGAGGCAGCCGGAACACTGGCATCAGAAGCTGCAAGGGTTTGCTTCAGGGCAAACCCAGTTGTAAATGAAATCAGGTTCCCAGTGTTTCCTTTGACTACTTCTTTTAAGGCCAGAGCTCTGAAATATTACAGTGTAAGATTCTATGAAGCTTGTTTATGTTATTTTGGGAAAAGCCTTGAGTATACTGTTAGTATATATACTTTTTTTTTTTAATATCCTCAACTTAATAATTTGGAAGATTGGATTAATTGGATGAATGGATAAATGTGTCTAATTTTTTTAGCAGAAATCTTTGTACAAAATATATATAGATAGTGTCTGTGTCGTTAATGCTTTCTTGGATCCACGCCCTCCAGAGAGCCTTCCCAGAGAGCAAGGGAGGGGGCCTGCACACATAGAGCCCCATGGACATCGTGTGCATTGCATGGGGTCATGTTGTGTTCACCTGCGTTGGGCGGTCAGCACGTGCAGCAGAGTGGGTACTATGTGCCTGTGTTCCTATGTTTGTATGTTTTACACATATATGTGTGTGTGTTTATATATGTGCGTGTATGTGTGTGTGTGTGTGTATGTATATATATATAAAACCTTTAAAGATAGACCAGGAGAAAGACTGCCTCTGTATAATATATGAGTCTTTCTTGGCATTTGAAAAAAATCAACATTAATTATCAATATAGTTATAACCTGCTTTTTTCTTTCCCTGTTACACTTTAGGACCCAAAGTGATCCAGACTTCGGCAGCTAATTTTTCACTAAATAATAGCAAAGAGGTAAGACTGGGTCTAAGGGTCGCTAAGAAATGGTCCTGCTTAAAGGGTCATTAAGGTCAAACCCATCCCCCTTGCCGGCAGCTTGCTTCTCGGGCAACACACATTTCTCACTCTACTGTCAGCTGCTGGCCTCTGGGTCCTTGTTTGCTAAAATTACCTTTTCTGCTGTAATAGTTCCCTCAGTGCTGAGAAAGGATGGTGATGTTACCTCTTAGGGAGGAGCAGTTCATTTCCAAAGGCTGGTTAAGTCCTCCTGATTCCTCCTGTGCACAAGACTTATTAGATTATAAATTCTAACGATGCTCACTTAGGTTTCTGCCTCTTTTTTTTATTATATTTGCCTAAGTTAAGGAGTGGTCTTTTTGTCAGGTTTCTAACGGTAACAGTTTTTTTCCAATGATTGTTTGGTATTTCTTGCATGAACTCAGTTTAAATGAAAAATCCTGTTTCTTTTCTTTTTTTAAAAAATAAAATGTGCCTTGATTCTTCACCATCTTTAAAGAAAAACAGAGGTCCTTCCAATTGGAAATTTTTGGTTTTCTTTAATAAATGCTAACGTTTGTGAGAGCCCAAACAGCTAAGCCTTTTCTTTTTCCGATATCGAAGTATCTTCATCTATAAACTGAAAGCAGTCGTCCCACATTCTCACTGCCTTGTAAGGTGTGCGGCTTAAATCTGATTATTTGACCCAATACCCCACCCCATCCCACCCCCGTCTTCGTTCTCCCAGCTCCCTACTAGGTTTCCACTGCCAATTCTCAAAAAAGCAAAAGGAGAAAAATGTCTGAAAACTTACCTTTTGGGCCCTTGTTTGGCCTATCATCCCTTTTTTTTTTTTTTTTTTTTGGCATTTCTTTATTTTCCTAAACTCTCAGATTGAGGATCTGTTTGAAGAGGTGCTGCCATAGGGTTTCCTGACCATAGTTTGGTCTTTTAAAATTTCCGTTTCCGTCTCAGGAGGTAAGTCCTTTTTTGACGCTGAAAATAGCAGCCGTTCCCCGGAACTGACTCGCTTCCAAAAGGTGGTCCTCACTTCTGAAAGGTTATAGATCATCCTCCAGTTGGTTGCATTGTCTTGGTGGCTTTGGGGCAAGTCTCCGGGCACAGGGAGTTTCACTGAGATCTGCCAGAAGCGTTAAAACACAAAAACTGCCCATTTACGTTCAAATAATGCTTGTCTTTGGAGCTAGGATCAGGCTCCTCAGGCAGCTTCTTTTGTGTCCCTTGCTGTTAGGCACCGGTATTGTGTTTTTCAGCAGACACTGCAGAAACGTCACTGGCAATGTGGTCCCCCTCTAATTTTTCTCTCTAGGGCCCTTAAAGCTGAAAATGACAGATGTCAGTGACATGTCTGGCATATTGTTACTAAAAAAAAAAGATTCTTGTGAATATGAAAATATTTGTTGGTGTCCTTTATTATCTTATTATATGTATCATCTTATGCACTTTAATTTTTTTCTCCAAGATGGCCTTTTCTTGGTATTTAAGTAGGTATATTGTCCCAAGGCTAACTGCTTTAGAAGTTTTCGTGAGAGACAAGTGAATTGCAGCAGAAAGTTAGTCCTTTATTTTTTTGAAAGGCAGAATTTTACTTATATTGACTAAAGGAAAACTGCATGTTTCTGTTTCAGAGCTAACACTCCAACCTTTTTTGTAAATGTAGATTTTGTATGTTAAGGTGAGACATTGGGTAGACTCAACTGAAGAGATCACATGGGTTTTTTAACTTCTTTTTCTTTTTACCTCAGCTAAAGCCAGTTCAAATACTTTCAAACCCGCTGTCTACATATAATCAGCAACTATGGCTGACATGTGTTGTCGAGTTGGAGCATTCAAAAGGTATGAAGCCTGACATTTTAGAATGACTTTTATTTGTACAGAGCCCCATATCTGAAAGGTTTAAAGAGCTTTAAAATCTTTCAACAAGTGCTCAAAGATGGATTATAACGTGGTGATTATTCTTTTTAATACCAGCAAGTTGGGAGCCCCTTAAATGTCCTCCAAGGAAAGTCATGTTGCAGCGCTCGAGGAGTACCCATCATGGCTCAGGGAGCTCCCGTCGGCCCTCAGGGATACTGGACATCCTTCGGGATACCGGTCATCCTTCGGGATGCCCGTGAAGCCTAGCTCTGTGGCTGCACAGTGTGGGTGCTGCAGCAGCAGCCTTTTCCAGTGGGCTTCTGGGAGAGAATTAAGTCCTGGTGTCCTAAGGCAATGTTCTGTCCCTCAGGGACACTTGGCAGTGTCTGGAGACCTTGTGACATGGCTGTCACAACTGGGGAGCAGGGAGTGCTATCAGTATCCAGTGGGTGGAGGCCAGGGATGCTGCTAAACATGCTACAATGACAGGACAAATTCCAAACAGTAAAGAATTATCTGACCTCAAAATAGCCATGGTGCTGAGGCTGAGAACCCCTGCCCAAAGCACTCACAGTTTATAATGACCTCGCTGTGTCCACCTCGGGCGACCCTGTCAAGCACCCTCCCTGAGAACCGAGAAGATGCTCCACGTCATTTTCTATATACTGTGATTTAGAGGAAGCACTTTGGTTGAAAGAATTTGAAAAGATAACTCAATGACTACAGTAAATTAAGTGAAAAAAAATGCATATTACAAAAAAATTAACCTCTTTTTATAACATTTTAAAAAGCATAAATAAATTTGATATCAGTATATATTTGTGTGTCTAGAAAACAGTCTGGAAGGATGGACACAAACATGAAATTATAGTTTCTCTGGTTGTGGGATTATACGTGTTTAATACCATCTTTATATTTTTGGTCTTTGATATTTTCAAGCAATGAGCATATAATCAGAAAAACAATGAATTATATAATCAGAAAAAATAAGAAACCTGTTTTTATTTTGGTACGAAGTTAAATTAAATTTTATATGGGAAATTAAAAAATAAAACTTTATTAGCCATGAAGTGTTCATCCTTTTGTGAAATGAAACTTGGGGGTGGGTGAGAAACAAGTTCATGGAAGGGCTGGACTTGGCTGGCAAGTATGAGCTTGGCAGATGTGGGGAGGCTGATGCGTCACAGAACCTTCCCGGGCCGACACACAGCCAGGCAGGCACTTCTGCAGGTGTGATGGCCTCTCGTGGTCTCTTAACACTGGATTTCTTTCTTTTGTAGAAACAGCTATTCAGACAAACTTCACCATGACCGTTAAGGTCGATGGTGTAGCTCAGGACGGGACCACCATGTTCATTCATAATAAAGTTCACAATCGGACGAGGACCCTCACGTGTGCAGGGGTGAGTGCATTTGACTGGTCTGTGGTGAGTCATCTTGCTGCTCTCATAGGTAAAAAAACTGAGTCATACCAATGATGGCATGGAAAACCCATCTAACTGTATACACTGATACCTTATAACTTCTTATAAACGTACACACACACATGCACACAGTATACACATACACACGCCCTGGTGCCTGTTTTTACTGTCAGTGTAGCCTACTGCCTGGTGCATCCACAGATGACTTGACTGGCTGCCTGTCTCACAGGAGGGTGGCTTGCCACTGTTCTGTGGTCTTTCTTGATTGCTGGGGCCTTGGTTTATTTCCAGCTGTGGGATGAACTCCCTGGCCCATTCGGGGCACTGGGACCCAGGCCTCTTGGGAAGAGTGGCCTCTTCTTTTGAGCGTCTACTCCAGGGTGCAGCATGTGGCGCTGGGCTAGGAGACCGATGGTCCACAGAGGGAAAGGAGCCCTCACTTTAGGTTTTGTTGATGCCGTATTCCATCAGGACCCCAAGAGTCGGAACCAGATCCTGCTGTAGCAAGGAGGCCCTGTTGGGACCTAACGGGTCGTGGGACAGCATGCGTGGGAGCATCCTAAGGGATTGCGTTTGGTTATAGGATTAGGAAATGGCCTCGTGGTGGGTACTGTCCATACGTGGTCTCATTCCATCCCCAGAGCAGGCCCACGAGCAGGAACTGTTGTTAGAGCCCCATTTCATAGACGAAGATACAGAGGCTTAGAGAGGTCAAAGCACTTGCCCAAGATGACACAGATCATGAGGGACGGGACCAGGCCCCCTCAGCCCAGGCTCTTCTGTTCCGAAGCCTGTGCCCTTAACACCCACGCACAGCCCCTGGTTAGTAACAGATACTGGACAGTTTTTCCTGGCGAGAAAGAATTCGGAGAGGGAGGGTTCCCGTTCAGAGGCTGGCCACTGGCTCTGGCCCCTCTATGTCGACGTCTGCTGGGAGGTCCTGAGATGGGTCCAAACCGTCGCCCGAGGGGCCTGGGCTGCAGGAAGGCCGAGCTGACGGTGCGCCCTGCCCAGCACAGTCACGGCAGCATCTGCTTGTGCCCTGCTCCGTGGCTCTGCCCTGGCTCGTTGGGTGGACCTGGGCAGCGGAGCCCGGGGAAGCAGCAGAAGTGACCCAACTCTCCCGCGTCCTCCGTTCATCGCCTTTGCGCCTGGGGCTGTGCCAGTTTCTAAACTGTGTCTTCCTCGTCTGTAAAGCAGGGGGTCACGCCTCCCCTGGAGTTGGCAGAGAGTGGTGAGGATGGAGGTGGGTTAGGAAGGTGAGAGCTCGCGCTGCTCGCGCAGGTGTGAGGGTCCAGGCACCCCCACCGTACTGAATAAACAGGAGGGACGACAGGTGTGAGGTCTGAAGGGACCACTGCACCAGCAGTGGCTTCTCCGTCCCACGCAGACTGGGCCAGGAGGCCCACCAGTCCCCCGCGCCGTGTGCCCTTGCCTCTCCTCTGCCTTCTTTCCCGTCCCTTGCATCAGCTCCCACTCCCCGCCCACTGCCTTCCTATCTTCTTAAGCCTTCTTACATGACACTCAGGTCTGTTTTCCTACCCGACCTCAGGCAGTCCTGGCTTGGAAAGCCTTTGCTCAACGGCAGGGTGACTGCCCAGTTCAGACCCCAGGCTCCAACAAGTGCCACAGGACGGCCTGCTTGTTCTGGGCCGTGGCCAGATTCCTCGTGGCACAGGGAGAGGCCTTCTGTTGGAGCCTGAGGGGCATGCTGGCCTGGCCACTGAATCCACACCTACGTTCGCACCTGGAGGGTGGGTTTCCTTCCCCTCACCTCTCTGAAATAGAGGAGACCTGAGCAGACCCGATTCTTAATTCTGAAGGGCGAAAGCAAGGGGCTCAGCTGGCCAGTTGGCACACACACTTCAAGAGATCGCAGGGGACTCTGCGTGGGAACGACAGGATAGTGGAGGAAAAAAAATACGTAATCCACTCTGTGCATCATTACAGCAGTTGCAGAAGTGGGCCGAGGAGGAAAGTTAGGCTGAGAGGTCTGATCTGTTGTGTCTTAGCTGACGTGCCTCCTGCACTCGTGTATTTGTGGAAGCGTCGGGTTTGTGTTGCATTAACTTATTTTTTATGCAGGTGACATTATTAGTTTTAAAATTTATTTTATTGAAATATAGTTGATTTACCATATCGTGTTAATTTCTGCGGTGCAGCAAAGTGATCCAGTTATACATATATACATTCTTTTTCATATTCTTTTCCAGTATGGTTTATCACAGGATATTGAATATAGTTCCCTGTGCTGTACAGTAGGACCTTGTTGTTTATCCATCCTGTATATACTAGTTTGCATCTGCTAATGCCAATCCAGCCCTCCCCCATTTCCCCTCCCCCTTGGCAACCACAAGTCTGTTCTCTAGGTGACATATCATTTTGAATTGTATGAAGTAGAAAGGTTCTAATGATTGTAAACCATGTATTATTTGTTTCTAAATATATCCATTTGGTTCTTGCTTTCTAAGAACTGGTTTTGGCTGGCATCTGAATTTTTCTGAGCTTCTGGCAAGTTCCCTGGAGATGATCTCTTGGATCATCTGTTGTTGGAATGTGTTACTTCGTGGGTCAGTTGGTTCAAGAGTGAGTCTTGCTTGCTTTAAAGACACAGATCTTCCTTGTGCATTTGCAGAAATGTGCAGAAATTATTGTGGCTCACCTCAGCTACTTGAATTACACTCAATATACAGTGACTGTGGGATTCAAACACCTGAAGGAACGCATCAAGGAAATGAACTTCACCGTAAGTATACCAGCTGACCACAGCGTTTCCGTGGCTCATTTGTTTAGCTTCCATTCTTTGTGGAATGACTGAGATAAATCACAGCATCGAAATCAAGTTATTTTGGACAGTGGAAGACATGGACAGTTCTAAAAACTGTAGAAAAACCAGTTTCTTACGTATATGGGACCACAGTTGCTTAAAGAAACAGCATGGAATTGGAAAACCATGGTGTTCCGAGGTTTAGGAGAGAGAGTAGCCTTCCAGCTGGGAGGTAATGGAGAAGTTGCCAGGTGTACCCTCCAAGGAAGGCAGGACCCCCTTCTCCAGGCCTGTGAGTGGTCTTCAGACCCTGCCAGACCTCTCGGTGAAGGGTCCCTGCTCTCAAGTGCCCGTCTGCCCCCAATCATGCAGCGCTGATGGTTAGACTTTTCTGTCTCGTGTCCGGGTGAAATCAGCCTCCTTGTTCCTGCCGCTTGTTGGGAGTCAGAATAATCATCACGGTGACTAGGGACACGGGTGTTAGCTCAGCCAGAAGAGCTGGGTTCAGACCCCAGCACCACCGTTTACAGTTTGACACTGTTGTGCCTCTGTTTCCTTATCATAAAATAGCTACCTCATACAGCTGTGACTATTAAAGGGAGGTGCCAGTGGGTCCCTTTTTTAAAATTATGCTTTTTTGAGATGTAATTCACATGCCATAAAAGAAGCCTGTTAGTAGTCGCTTCTCATTTCCCCCTCCCCCGGCCCCTGGCAACCAGTAATCTGCTTTCTCTCTGTATGGATTTGCCTGTAGTGGACATTTCATACGAATGGAATCAGATACTTTGTGCTCTTTTGTGAATGACTTCTTTCACTAAGCGGTGTTTGCACAGTTCATCTGCGCTTTGCTGGTAATGGCATTTCATTCCTCTTTTGCCAAATAATATTTCATTGTACGTGTGTGCTACCTTTTGTGTATCCATTCATCGGTGGGTGGGCTTTTGGGTTGTTTCCATTTTGGGGCTATTGTGAATAACGCTGCTATGAACGTTTATACACAGGTTTTTATTTGGACAAAGGGGTCCCCTTTGCTGAGAGGTTGTGGTGTGTGGGAGCCCTCCTGCACCCTTACGGGCACTCCCACCTCTGCGATTTTCTCTGTTTCCTGGGAGGCCTCTGGAGGTCGGCTGGGCTTGGGGTCATGCCCAGCACCTGCTCGTTGTGTGTGCTTGACAAATGGTAGCCGTTGCTACAGTCTTGCTACTTTTCTGCACGTCCTGTCTCTAGACTACCCAAAGCGAGTTTGTTTATTCTTTATCTGCCTGATCGCTCCGCAAGTGTTCGAAGATGGCTGTCTCTGAGGTTTGTCCTTTTCCTTCACAAAGCCCCAGGGGTGTGGCTTCTGGACACCTCAGACTCCAGGTTTCCTCCCCATGGCCCCGAATCAGCCTGGCCGAGAGGCGTGCCCCCCTGGGGAGGGAGCAGGTGGCCCCCCAGGTGCCAGCTCCTCTAGAAGCTGCATCACCTGTCGGACCCCGCGGACTTATTCTGCTGTTCAGCCTAGTCTCCTTCTTTCCTGGCTCCTGTGGTGGGTTTCTCACAGTTCAGACGCTGCTCAGATGTTACACTCTGCTCCTGAGTTTCTTCTCAATGCTTTTAGCTTCCTCCCCAGTCTCTCCCGATCTTTTGAGTTTGAGTCTGGATTCTGTTCCTTGTTGTGCGAATGATTTCCTCAAACTTTGTCTTCAGAAGATCTGATTAGCATTCTGCCTGTGTCCTCAGGTTCACGATGCAGAGGTTGAACCCAGATGGGGCCTCAGACAGATGCCGTGAGCTCAGGCACTCTTTGGACTCATCTTGTGATAACATCTGTGCTTTAGACTTTGCTATTTCGCATCCTTCTGATTGGAGAATGCGGAAAGAAAAGAGCACCACGTTTTCCCAGCGAGGGATCTTTCCTTTCTGTCGTCTGTATAAGAACGTCATCCCCTACAAGCCCTTTATCAAAGTGCTCAGCAGTTTTCCCCACGGGGTTTACCTCACCCCAGCCCTATTATGTGGGCTTGGGCCACTGTTTTGTTTGTTTTTCATTGTGGTTCTCTCCTTCCATCTTTTGTATCTGTTTACATTTCCTCTTAAAGGTATTCCTAAATAATTTGATACATGTTTCAGATAAACCTGGTTCATGTCATTCCGCCCTTGCTGGTCGAAGGCAGGCCATGTGATCTCATCTTAGGGCTCAATAAGGAAGTTGCCTGTCAGAGCAGCTCTCCTTGAATGATGTCAACAGCCAGAGTTTTGTTTTGATTGCTCTCCTCAGCATCCACAAAGCTGAGACGTACGTAGGACCCTCGGGGTTTGTGAGGGATGTCACCTAAGATTTTTCTCCATTTTTGGTACATTTCTGTATTCCCAGTAACAGCAGAGGGTCTGGCAACAGTTAGGTTTGTAATTGAAGAATAACAGCGTAGCACTTCACCAAATAAGAAATTCAAATGGCCGACAAACCTTTGAAATGCAAACCAAAACATTAGAGAATACAAGAAGGAATGTCTTTTTTTAAAAGCCTATCAAACTGGCAAATAGTCAAAACACCAACAAGAAAAATCACATCTAGCGTTGGTGAAATGTAAGGACACAAGTTCTCATACAGGTTAATGGGGTGTAAATTGGTTGAACTTTGGGGACCAGTTTGGCAATGTATCAAAGCCTATATGTGTGTGATGTTCTTTTTGACCTAGCAGTTCTACTTCTAGGAGTTTATTCTAAAGAAATAATTTAAAATGTCCACAAAGATTTATGTTCAAACATGTTCCTCATAGCAGGAAGTTGGGAGAAATCTGTATTTCAGCA